ATATTTAGTTTATAAACTATGACATTTATAAATGTATGAATCTTATGGTGAAAAACTGACTTTGAAAAATAAATCTGTTCTTTTTTTCTTATAAAAGGCTAAATAAAACAAAAATATTGGTGGTAATTTTTGACTGTAACTTTACAAACGGCCCATATTTAGCTACTGTTTTAGTGTAAGTATTAATATATAGCTACGGACCTGATCATGTTTAGCTACTGTTTTGCCAAATTTAGATTTATCTGGTTTCACGTTTTAGCTAGCATTTTTTTATTTTAACTTTTAGCTATTGTTCAGTTAATTTTAACTTTTATTCTGTTAGATTTAGCTTTTACCTACCACTCAAATAGTTTTAACTTTTAAATTTGTCTAATTTTAATTTTTAGCATTTGTTTCACTAATTTTATTATTTTGGCTTTAGCTTTTAGCCATCATTCAACTGTTTTTAGCTGTTAGACTTTAAACTTAGTTTTTAGCATTTGTTTTGCTAATATTAGCTTTTATTCTGTTGGCTTTAGCTTTCAGCTACCATTTAAATGGCATTAGCTTTTACTTTTTCAACTTTATTTTTTCGTATTTTTATTCCAACATTAGCTTTTAGCTATCATTTAACTGGTTTTAGCTTTAGTAACTTTACTTTTTAGTGTTTGTGTTACCAATATTAGCTTTATGCATTTGTTTGACTAATTTTAGCTTTTATTTCTGTTTAGATTTAGCTTTTAGCTACCATTCACCTGGTTTTAGTTTTTAGATTTGTCTAACTTTTGTTTTTATCAGTTTAATATTAGCATTTAGCTTTTGTTTTATAAATTTTAGTATTTTGTTCGAGGCAGTAATATCAGCATTAATTCAGGACGTAGCATTCAGACAGCAGTTTTTACAGAAAATGCTGATTTGTCTACTTAAAATAGTCTCAAAGGTCATTTATTTCAGAATAGTGCGTCCATTGTGCTGTTTGAAACTCCACGATGATCGAACGTTTGGCACGTCTGAACCAACCTCTGGACCCAGAACAGCCGTGCTGTCGCTGGGGATGTCCTCCTCGCAGCCTTTGTTCAGGTAGCTCTCCGTGTCCTGGTCCAGGCTGGCCTGGCTGGAGCAGTGGGAGCTGCCGCGGCGCTTCGGGGACGACGCCCTCCTGACTCCTCGCTCCGAGCAGGAGGACTTGTTTTTCCCTGAGCTCTTGTACGGCGGAGGCCGGGCTTCACTTCGGGAACACTCCGTCTTTATTCTCTGGATGCTGGCGGCTGTCATCGGGACAGGGACACAGAAAGTATGTTGATTTGTGATGAAATTAGCAACTAAAACCGTAATCGGATCAGGGAGGGAGAGCTATTTGAACCTGAGTACAGGCGACGCCCTCACCTTGTTCACTGGAGGCCTCGCTGCTGTACCCTCCCTGCTCATCGCACTGGTTGCTTTGGCTCCACGCAGATGTGGGGTTCTGCTGGGTCACAGCTCCTGGGCTTTTCTCTTCTTCGCTGTCTGAAACGGCTCCATCTGTGCGGGACACATCAGCGCTCACGTTCACGAACTGCAGTGTGTGCAGGATTTACAGAGACAGAGTCAAGATGCAGCTGCTGAAAGAACTGTCTGAGAAGGTTGTATTTAAGAGAAAGAGGTTGAGAAACGAAGGAGGTGAAGATCTGGAGGGTTTTTGTTCAGAGGAAATGCACACTCTGACCTTGGTTTCCTTTCTTTTTCTTCTTGCCTTTCTTTGCTTTGTCTTTCTTCTCCACATCTAAAGCTGCTTCAGATTTCTTTGAGCTCTCCTTCCTTTTCTTCCCCACGGAGGCAGATTTAGACGGCTCAGCCTCTTCCTCGTTGTCTGCCTCTCTCTCAGAACCGTCTTCCTCCTCCACTTGCTCTCCACTACTTTCCTCATTTTGTTTCGATTCTCTCCTTTCATTTCCAGGCGAATGAGGAGTTGGATCGCAGTCGTCGCCTCTTTCCTCGCTCTGGTTCTCCGGGCCTTCGGCGGCCTCTGCTCGCTCTCCCTCGTTGGGTTCTTCTTCGTTTCTCTTCACTTTGCCTTCTTTCTCGAGCTGCCTCTGTCTCCTCTCCTTTCTCCTCTGCTCTCTCTTCTCCTGCAGCTCCTCCTGCTCCTTCTTCCTCCTGTCTTCCTCGGCTAGCTCGGCTTCTGACCTTTTCACTCGCCAGCACCCGTCCCTCCATTCCCACTCCAGCTGGCTCTGGTTTTGCCCTCCCTCCGCCGCATCACTCCCCTGGTTGGTTTTTGAGCCCGTGTGGTTGGTGTTTGAGTCTCTCTGCCGCACGTTTTTACCGCCGGTCCTGGCTTCCTGTGCGCCGGAGGCCTGCCCCGCCTCCTGGCCGCTGCCGTTTTCGCCATCCTCTGCATCCTGCACCTTGCTGATGATGGTGGTGACCTGCTCGGTGAGCTGGTCGCTGACGGCATAGGTGACGTCGCTAACGGTGTTGGCCAGGTCGTCCACACGGCTGGTGACCGAGTCCAGGATGGAGGAGATGTTGACGGACGGTAGAGTCTGTTGGAAGCTCTTGAAGAAGGCCATGTCTCTGTCAGAGATCCAAGCGCACGGCGACCAAGAGATTACCTCATCAGAAGCACTGACAGAGACATGTGGTCGTTAGCGGAGTGTGGTTCCAGCATTCCCAGCATATACAGCACATACCACAAAGTATTCAAACGTATGTTACTCAAAACAGCACGGAGTTTAATTATCAACTGTACTTAGCAGGGAAAGTCAGGAGTTTTGTGTTGGGTGGATTAATTCTTTGTTGTAACAATGGGCCTCATGCAAGAACCGTTCGTACGAACAGGTTTGTTAAATTGTACGAGTGATTTAGGAGAACTTGTAGCATTCACCAATCTTCTCGTATTCTAAGATTTTTTTCAGATACGAACAAAATTCACGAGTGTCCAGACCTGTCGTATATTTTACAGTCAGTCTGCTGTTATCTAGACCAGTGTTTCCCAAAGTTGGAGTCGGGACCCAAAGTGGGGTCCCGAAACATCAAGGTAGGGTCCTGAAAAGATTTTCTGAATTAATTACATTTTTNATGTAGAAACACTGTTTTTCCACTTAGTCTTTTCAACCATTGGTCCAACTATACACATACAAGTAGCTGTAGTCAGATAGTCTTACAACACTAATAAAAAAGCCAAAACACTAAAAGTAGCCAACTACCGTAGCAATAAAAGCAGAAAAATGCAAGCTAAAAGTAACTGGAYGCTAGCTAAAATTAGCAAAACCCTACCTAAAAGTAAATACTAGGTAAAAGCAGCAAAACATTGCTAAAATAACTAAATGTTATTGTCTAAAATGAGCAATAYCTTAGTTAAAATCAACTACATGTTAGGTAAAATTAGCAAAACAATAGCTGAAAGCTAAATGCTTGGGGATGTGAAAATAGACAACATGCTTATAAAAGTTTACCTACAACCTTTTAAACTAGCAGCATTTTGTTTTAAATGGACTCTATCACCCACTTCGGTTAGCTGTCATTTATTAAACATAATGAAGGTTACTTCTGTAATAGTCATTAAAATTAAGGGGAGTGTAATGAAGCATAGCATAAGTCCTAAAAGGACTTCTGTGGGTTTTTGCTGTTGGACCTGTATGTAGTCATTAACGTCACATGTTGCGACGACAAAGTGAGAATGGTTTGTTTCACTCTGTAGCAGTTGTGATGCAGTTGTGATGCAGTTGTGATGCAGGCCAGCTGGGATGTGAGCGAACTCTTTGTAAGTCCCGTGTTCATGTTTCCACAGTTGTTTCGACACTTGGACGTCGGCACATGTGGCGGCTGTAAAATGCTGATTCACTGCCAGCCAAAAGATTCCTTGTTGAAAGGTTTTGCGATTATTACTCAAAATTCAAAAACCATCCAATGCTACAGAGGAGGGAGCTGTCTTCGCAATGTCAGCTGTCAAATCACGTCTCACATGACAGTTTTTGGACCGAGTCTCTCGGAGCACCTGTGAGCCATCAGTCAGACCAGCACAGACGCCTGGGACACAAGCTCCTGTGGGCTATTGTTGTGGTCAGCATAAACAATTTACTTTTTTAAATCCTCATCTTCTCTCTCGCAACTTAAGAGTACACATATGATGGTTCTGTCTTTATGCTTTGCATAAGAAGCAATTTTCTTTTATTTTGTAAAATAGTTCTTTAGACTTTCTGAAAGTCTTTGTTCTTCTTTGGATTCACCCATTTTCTGTCCAGTCCTTGTTTTTTTTTGTTTTGTTTTGTTTTTTTTGACAGCGTGTCATGCAGCAGCGCTTCAAAAAAAAGACCCAACACACCCTTCAGTTGATGGTGGACTATGTCCATGTGCATGTATCAAGCTAAAATGCCCTTTTACTGTACTTTTGTTGAATTGAATCTTTGACATTTTTCATGGACTCATCCAATGAAAAAAATCACTAGTGTTGTTCCAGTGACAAGCTGCTGGTAACAAAGAGCCTACATGTCCAGTGAAAAGGAAGTTATTTGCTACATGTTATATTTTAACACAACACTAGTCCATATTTTAAGGAGCTCTCTTAAGTCTGAATTTAATGTACCAAGCAAAAAGTCAACCATGATTTTAAAATAAGTCAAATACTGAACTGAGTAAAAAAAAAAAAAAAGGCAGTATAAGTCCCAAAATATTTTGTAAAATCTTCTGAAAGTCTATGGTTGATAAAGAAGAAATAAAAAAGAAAGCTTTACTCCTTGGAAAAAGAAAGAAAAAAACCCAACACTTTTGCACAATACCTTGGATCACCTTTTCCAAAAGTTGGGGTCGGGACCAAAAGTGGGGTCCTGAAACATCAAGGTGGGGTCCTGACAGGATTTTCTGAATTAATGAGATTTTTGCCTTAGTTGTTACAAAAGGAGTGAGGTTGGTATATTTAAAATGGATAACTGTAGTATAAAATATTGTTACTATGTTCATGTTTTGTTGACCTGATACAAATGTTTATCATCCAAAAATAGCTGGGGGCACAGGTCTCTGTTATTGTTATTTTGTGGGTCAAAAGCTGAAAAGTTTGGGAACCACTGCACTTTGGTTCCCAAAGTTGGGCTTGG